TAACAAAATTTAGATGTGCACACACCTTAGCCTGGATTTAGTTATTTCAGGTCTTTATATAGCGCTGTCAATTTATTGTTATTACAGGTCCTTGTATAGTGCTGTCAATTTATTGTTATTACAGGTCCTTATATAGCGCTGTCAATTTATTGTTATTACAGGTCCTTATATAGCGCTGTCAATTTATTGCTATTACAGGTCCTTATATATCGCTGTCAATTTATTGTTATTACAGGTCCTTATATATCGCTGTCAATTTATTGTTATTACAGGTACTTATATATCGCTGTCAATTTATTGTTATTACAGGTCCTTATATAGTGCTGTCAATTTATTGCTATTACAGGTCCTTATATAGCGCTGTCAATTTATTGTTATTACAGGTCCTTGTATAGTGCTGTCAATTTATTGTTATTACAGGTCCTTATATCGCTGTCAATTTATTGTTATTACAGGTCCTTATATAGTGCTGTCAATTTATTGCTATTACAGGTCCTTATATAGCGCTGTCAATTTATTGTTATTACAGGTCCTTATATAGCGCTGTCAATTTATTGTTATTACAGGTCCTTATATATCGCTGTCAATTTATTGTTATTACAGGTACTTATATATCGCTGTCAATTTATTGTTATTACAGGTCCTTATATAGTGCTGTCAATTTATTGCTATTACAGGTCCTTGTATAGCGCTGTCAATTTATTGCTATTACAGGTCCTTGTATAGCGCTGTCAATTTATTGTTATTACAGGTCCTTATATATCGCTGTCAATTTATTGTTATTACAGGTACTTATATATCGCTGTCAATTTATTGTTATTACAGGTCCTTATATAGCGCTGTCAATTTATTGCTATTACAGGTCCTTATATAGCGCTGTCAATTTATTGTTATTACAGGTCCTTGTATAGCGCTGTCAATTTATTGTTATTACAGGTCCTTATATAGCGCTGTCAATTTATTGTTATTACAGGTACTTATATAGCGCTGTCAATTTATTGTTATTACAGGTCCTTGTATAGCGCTGTCAATTTATTGTTATTACAGGTCCTTGTATAGCGCTGTCAATTTATTGTTATTACAGGTCCTTGTATAGCGCTGTCAATTTATTGCTATTACAGGTCCTTGTATAGCGCTGTCAATTTATTGTTATTACAGGTCCTTGTATAGCGCTGTCAATTTATTGTTATTACAGGTCCTTATATATCGCTGTCAATTTATTGTTATTACAGGTACTTATATATCGCTGTCAATTTATTGTTATTACAGGTCCTTATATAGCGCTGTCAATTTATTGCTATTACAGGTCCTTCTATAGCGCTGTCAATTTATTGCTATTACAGGTCCTTGTATAGCGCTGTCAATTTATTGTTATTACAGGTCCTTGTATAGCGCTGTCAATTTATTGTTATTACAGGTCCTTATATAGCGCTGTCAATTTATTGTTATTACAGGTCCTTGTATAGCGCTGTCAATTTATTGTTATTACAGGTCCTTGTATAGCGCTGTCAATTTATTGTTATTACAGGTCCTTATATATCGCTGTCAATTTATTGTTATTACAGGTACTTATATATCGCTGTCAATTTATTGTTATTACAGGTCCTTATATAGCGCTGTCAATTTATTGCTATTACAGGTCCTTGTATAGCGCTGTCAATTTATTGTTATTACAGGTCCTTATATAGCGCTGTCAATTTATTGTTATTACAGGTCCTTATATATCGCTGTCAATTTATTGTTATTACAGGTCCTTATATATCGCTGTCAATTTATTGTTATTACAGGTACTTATATATCGCTGTCAATTTATTGTTATTACAGGTCCTTATATAGCGCTGTCAATTTATTGCTATTACAGGTCCTTCTATAGCGCTGTCAATTTATTGCTATTACAGGTCCTTGTATAGCGCTGTCAATTTATTGTTATTACAGGTCCTTGTATAGTGCTGTCAATTTATTGTTATTACAGGTCCTTATATATCGCTGTCAATTTATTGTTATTACAGGTCCTTATATAGCGCTGTCAATTTATTGTTATTATAGGTCCTTGTATAGCGCTGTCAATTTATTGTTATTACAGGTCCTTATATAGCGCTGTCAATTTATTGCTATTACAGGTCCTTGTATAGCGCTGTCAATTTATTGTTATTACAGGTCCTTGTATAGCGCTGTCAATTTATTGTTATTACAGGTCCTTGTATAGTGCTGTCAATTTATTGTTATTACAGGTCCTTATATATGACGTTAGTACTGCCAGGTGGAAGTGCTAACCATTTAGCCACTGTGCTGCCCAATTTATGCGGCACTTTACATATATATTGTACATTCACATCAGTCCCTAACCCTCAAAGGGTGTACAAACTAAAGTCTCTAACTCACATTCATACACTGGAGCCAATTTAGACAGGATCCAATTGACCTACCAGCATGTCTTTGGAGTGTAGGAGGAAACTCACACAGGCACAGGGAGAACATGCAAACTGCAGACAGGTGGTGCTGTGGCTGGGATTTGAACCAATGACGCTAGTACTGCCAGGTGGATGTGCTAACCATTTAGTCACTGTGCTTTCTTCTTTACTTAATGTGACACTAAACTCTGGTTTAAAAAGAAAATTCTATACAGGTCAATCAAAGTCGCACCCATCCAAAGTTGCATCAAAGTCAATACTTTCTTATTGGCAAAAAATTTTTACAAAACGCACCCAGCTAAATGGTTAGCACATCCACCTGGTAGTACTAGGGTCACAGCACCACCTGCTTGGAGTTTGCATGTTCTCCCTGTGCTTGCGTGAGTTTCCTCCTACACTCCAAAGACATACTTTCACAGAAGGTGCTGTGTGCTTGCCACGGGAGACATGTTCTGGGAGGATGTCATGTGACACCCTACCAGAACTGGACGACCGTTCTGGAGCCATCATTTGACTATTACGCGGTCAATAAGTGGTTGAAGTACAACATTAGAAAATTGATATGCCTGTTGGAAAACCACGTCCATTTTAAATTAATACCCCACCCCTAATTAAAGTAATTCTCCATCTTCACCCGGTTTGCTGGCATGCTCAGTGAAAAAGGTGTCCCTGGAATTTTTTTTTTTTAAATATTGCAACTATACAAAATGTACCATTTAGCTACTTGACTTCTGGAAGGTTTTACGCCCTTCATGACCAGGCCATTTTTTTGCTATTCAGCACTGTGCTAGTTTAACTGCAACATGACTCAAATGAAACTGATATTTTTTGTTTACACAAATGGAGCTTTCTTTTGATGGTATTTGATCACCACTGGGTTTTTTTTTTATTTTTTGCTATAAAATTTTGAAAAAAAAACCCAATGTTTTCTACTTTCTGTTATAAAACATATGCAGTTAAATTAAATTTCCTCATAAATTTAGATCTCAATGTATTCTGCTACGTCTTTAGTAAAAAAAAAATCCCAGTAAGTGTAAATGAATTGTTTTGTGTGAAAGTTATAACATCTACAAACTATGGCATATATATTTGAAAATGTATAAATTCTGATATATTAATAGCCTCTCTCTTTTCTTGAGGCCCGTACAATTTCAGGACAGTACAAATATCCCCCAAATGATTCCTTTTTTAAAAGAAGAGAGTCTGAAGTATTTAGTAAGAAGCATGGTGAGTTGTAATTTTTAGTAACTTTTTTTTGAAAATTAAGAAATTAAATACATTTTTTTCACAATTTATGTTCTTTACATTCTGTCACCAGTGCAGTATAGCATCATTGTATGACCGGTGTGGCAGTGACCATAGTGACAATGTACTACTCTGGGGGGTGCTCAGAGATTTTTTATTTTTTTTTACACTTTGATGTTTTGAACTCTCATGAGTGGGTTACACTTCAAACAGCTATGATTATTATTATGTGTTGTGATTGGCCCACAGCTATCACATGGCCCAGTGTTCTGTGATTGGCCCAAGTACCCTGTTATAACAGTGGGTCAGTCACAGCATCACTATAGGAATTACAGCTGTTATAAATGAAATTAAATTATTGATATTGTGATCACATGATCACCTGGCCAGTCAAAGCTGCAATCTTCTGTGTCCGCTGTACAAACGCTGTGAATCCTGGAGGGGGAGCACTGTACATGATTCAGGAAAATAGAGGTCAAAAAAGCACTTGTGTGGTTTAGCCAGTCATTTCCTGCATAGTAAATCTTTGAGGCCCATGGAACTGGGGCAGTGGCAGAGACGTGTCCTTTGTCTCTACATACTATGTGCTAAAAGGTGTCCCTCTTTATCATTTTAAGAAGTATCTGTTAGCATTAAGTATAAATGTCATTATTACATAAAGTTGCCACAGAATTGAGCACAATGGACTTTTGCTACATCAATGGCTGCCCAATGGTTAAAGCTGATTTGATGTGTTTTAATTCTGTTTTTCACTACATTTCACTTTTCAATAGGCGGTAGAAGTCATTGGGTGGGGTGTCAAACTGGCGGTCCTCCAGCTGTTGCAAAACTAAAAGTCCCATCATGCCTCTGCCTTTGGGAGTCATGTTTGTAACTGTTAATCTTGCAGTGCCTCATGGGACTTGTAGGTTGGCAACAGCTGGAGGCAGGGGCGGACTGACAAGTCATGGGGCCCCGGGCAATAGCGGATCATGGGGCCCCTGTGTCCTTGCCCAAACTCAAAAAAGCCTATGAAAAAGGTACCAGGGGCATCTCATGGGGCCCCCTACTGACCCCAGGCCTTTGGGCAGTGCCCGAGTTTCCAAATGGTCATTCCGCCCCTGGCTGGTGGGCCTCCAGTTTGACACCATAGGGTGAAATGAGTGCAAAGCCAACAAGTGATGTGCAGTGAGGAGAGCTGAAGTCTGTACCACACAGAGGCCAGCAGGAGGAGTATGAAGCTTGCACACCTAGAGGGATGCTGGGCTTCTTCATTTCATATGACAACACCAAAAGCGGCAGTATAAGTGTGGGTCCATCTGTGACATCCTAAGAAGCCTGTACACGGGTGTCTGCAGCGTGAGCATGGATGCACTGACAGGGAGCGTGTTCTGGAAGGATTACATATTCTCCTGGTTGCCACTCAGTTATAATGCGACCTGGCCAGTGCTGCTTTTCTATACTTTCCTGTTCTTAGGGCTATACTGGCTGATGAGTTCTCTATGGGCCTATTTCCAGATTATCACCAGGAACACACCACCTGGCCCCACTCCGATGCCCTTCATGGGGAACTTTGGCTTTATGATGATGCCTGGGTGGCTTCTCCAGCTCCTGCAATATGGCATGGACAATAGTAGTCTCAGAAAGGCACCTGCAGGGGCCACCAGAAGAGGGGCTTTCCTATATCCACACATTGTACTCACTAATATGGTAAAACTCTACGGCAAGATCTATGGCTTGTACATTGGCACGCGTCTCATTGTCATCCTCAATGACTTCGACACTGTGAAAGATGCCATGGTCAATCACTCTGAAGTGTTTTCTGATCGACCCAGTGTGCCACTGGTCAACATCATCACCAAGAGGAAAGGTAGAATCATGGGGTACTGTAAAAGACTTGACAGCGTTCAATATTTATAAGTTGTGGTAGTTGAATTTTGCTAAGTTTATAAGTATGTGTTTATTTTGTTTTATTAAAGTGGAAGTAAACTTCTTTTTGCATATTTTACCTGCAGGTAAGCCTTTAATAAGGCTTTCTTGTAGGTACTGTAAATATATTCTAAATGTGCACTGTTTAGGAGACATTTACTGTAGAAGTGCTGGTGATGTCACCGGCGCATGTGCACTGCGCTCTCAATGGACGGCGTGCCAATCAGATGGCCATAGTTCGCGAACCTGGAAGGAAGACTGGGTGAAGATGAAAGCCTCGGGGAACCGTGACAGCGCGCTGCTGGAGGGCTTAGTTTTCAGGTAAGTCATTAATAATGTGATAGTATGCGATGAATACTAGCACATTATGCTCTTAGCTTGCAGGGAGAAGATTTTTTAGAATTTTTTTTTGCAGTTTACTACCGCTTTAAGTTGATATGTAAGCAATAAGCATTTATTTGACTAGTGACAATAATGTTTGGCCTGAAAAGGGACGTTTAAAATGTGATGAAAAAATATAAAATGTCCATAAAAACATTTTACATACAAAAACAAAAGAAATTCATTACATCAGTCAAAATTAATTTGAAGCTTGAAGAGCATGCACACTTATCAGTACAAAAAATCAGCTGGAGTATACAGCATTTGAGGTCTGAAAGATGTCAGCTACAAGGTCAATCCAAAAGTGAAAGGAGACAACCATTAATTGCCATAAAAATTATTATTATAAAAAAAAAATAATATTAATAAAAAAAAAAATATATATATATATATATATATATATATATATATATATACATTACATTTCTATCATTCGTTCACTTATTTTGGTAAAAAACTTTTTGAATATCTCTGAAAATGTGGTCTGCTCTTGGCTAGACTAGGCTACTTACAAAAAGTTTACCAATAATGTGACATTCTGACATTCCAGGTTTTGAGCATTGCCCAGAATTATTCTGACATGCTGGAAGATGATAAGGAGCACCTCAGGCATTGCGAGAAACTATTTTTGCACAGGTATAGTTATTGAAAAATCTCCCTACAGTGCAGCCTTTCCTTCACTTTTCTATGATGAAGACTCAAAATATATCAAAGATCCAATTTACCTTGTGTATGCCACTGTCAGCGTTGGGAAAGGATAATAACAGGTGCTGATATGGCTTTCCAAAGGGTGGGCAGGTGTCTCCTGCCCGTTTTTTTAAGGACAAAACCGTTATAATTGGGAATTTTATCTTTCATAGATAAAGATTTTATCTTTTTTGTAATATTTTTTACTAGAGCTCAATGCAAGACAAAATTGTTTTTATAGTCAATAATGACAGAGCTGATTAGATCTCTAAGGCCCCTTTCACAGCGAAGATCCGATCAGGTCCACCTGTCAGTTTTTCAGGCAGAAGTGATCAGAAAGTCCATACAACACTATGGGTGGGTGTAAATGGACTGGTGTCTGTTTACACCCGTCTACCTCTGGGTTCAATGCAGTTCACTGAAAAAAAGGTGGAAGGGGATGAGTCCCTTTCTGTTTTAGGCAGAACAGATCAGAGGATGGCCGGGTATAAATGGACAAAGAAATGTTTTAATCATCCATGAGTTAAGGGCTGCAACATCTCTATACCATATAGAGATTTGTCTCCCATGGGTCTATAATGAAGCCAACACCACAACAATGTATAAAAAAAAAACAATTTTTTACTATACAAAATCCATAAGATCACTCCATAAAAACATTGTCACGTAGATACTCTGGTTTTGAAATATACATTTATACAGTATGTATCCCAAAATCTTGGCCATGTAATAAATTATACACCAACGAAGGTCTTTAAAGTCTCAAAAGATCTTTTTAGCCACAAATCTCCAACACATTTCAATTAATCTGTAAAAATCTTCATCAGGTGAAACACATGAGACACCTACATCAAGTGAGCCAATGAAATATGCTAACAAGCATGTATATAATAATTAATTGTGTTAATAGAACAGAAACTCACACAAACACAGAGTGATAACCAAATGATCCTTCAACATTCTCCTTGAGTGTACCAGAGGTCCATGAGAACCCAGCATAAAGCCCCCAAGGAACCAGGAGGGTGATTAGGGCTGATTAGGGTGAACTTCCCATAGTAATCTGTTAAATACAATAGATGTTTAATTTTTTTGTACGTTAACCACAACTTCTTTGTAGATTTAGGCTGTCTCAGTTGCTTCTATCTCTTTATGTAATCCCAAGAGACTCTGGGATGTTGTCATCAAAATTTCATGGAGGACATACCATTTTTTTTTTGGACACCTTGTTCTTCTTTTTGCTGAAGAGTTGTTTATAACATTAGCTGTATGGTTGGAGTTGTCCTGCTGCACAATGAATTTGGAACCAATCCAATGCTTCACTGATGGTAATGTGTGAGAAATAAGCATTTGTTTGTGCTTTCCAACATGAGGAAGCCATTAATTCTGACCAAACCCCCAACTACCTATGCAGAAAGGCACCCTGAAACTAGCAAATAACCTTCACTATGCTTCACTGTTGCTTACAGATATTCTCCAGGCCTTCGGTAAACAAAACTGTTTTCTGTTACATCCAAATATTTTAAATTTGGACTCAACAGCCCCCAGCACCTGCTACCATTTTTCTGCATACCAGTTCTTGTGTTTTGTTCAAAGGCAAGTCACTTGGCCTTGTTTCCAAGTCAGAGGTTTGGCTTTTTAGCCCCTAGTCTCCCATGGAGACTCTTTTTAAGTAGCCTTGTTCGGACTATGAATGGGTGTTTCTGCTAAGTTCTGCCAAGTTGCATTTTTGAAAAGTAGTGTGGAGGCAGGTTGAGTGATATGCTGTCCAGCCAGGAGGGTTAGTGTTTCCTGAGTTTTTCTTAGTGTGTTTTTTGGGTCTGGCCCACTGGTCCTGTATAGATGTAACACCCTCCTAGCTAGGTGTTAGGGTTAAACAGATAGATTTGGTTGTGATTTTGTTAGGTAAAAGCATAGTTAGTTCACTGTAGTTAGTTCTATTTCCAAAACATGGTTTTAATTTTATTTATGTATGGACAAATTGATTTGATTTAGATTTAGCTATATATACTGTATCTACTACAGCTCCCTCCTGCTCTGTTCTACAGTCTCTAATTCACATCTTCAAGCTCTCCACTGGCACCTATCCCTCCCCTCTCAAACATACCACCATACTTAAAGCGGAGTTCCACTCATGCTGTCAAAAAATAAAAGCAGCTACAAATATTGTTGCTGCTGACTTTTAAAAAACAAACACTCACCTGTCCCTCAGTCCTGCGGTGTGTCCCCTGCAGCCCGTTTTACTGGCTGTCTTCTCTCCGTGGGCACCGGCATCTTCAGCGTGGGCACCCGGCTATGACACACGAGTAGCGCTGCGCTTCCTGAATGGTCCTGTAGTCTTCTGGGACCTGTCACGTGTCCCGAAAGACTATGGGGAGGGAGGAAGGGATGACACCTTCCACTTCTGATCGCCTAGGTGATCAGAGCGGAAGTGGGAGCAGGTACCTGTCAAATTCAGGTACCCGCTCCCCCCCGCCCCTCAAAGGTGCCAATCCTTAATGGGGAGCGGGGGCCCAGTCTTTAAAGTGGAACTTCCCCTTTTGGGTGGGCTGCCTTTTCAGAAGAAGTGCAGGGACTTCTTCCCTGTGCGTCCCAGGACACGGGAGTCCATTCAAATGAACAGGCTCTTGTGCCCGTGCAAAACGTGGTCCTCAGGAACATGGATATGTGAACCAGGTGTTACACGGGGACCCAACAGTTAACTGGAGAACAGTTGTTGTGCAAGTGTACAAGGTGTATTGGTCATCTATAAAATCAGAGTCCTGCCTTAATGTCAAATATTCCCCCACAGCAGTCTCAGGGTTGTCAGGGCATTGATGAAGCGGCACTAAAGCAAAGTTATCTCGTGTAGGAAAGTGACCCTGTCTCAGGTGTCTAGCGTAGCCCAGAAGAACCTACCCCGTGGTAGACCTCTCACGTAACCCAGACTTGACACCCAATGAGTTAATTGGGAACATGGAAAATGTGACTACCAACCATCTGCCCTACCCTCACATGTGCACTGCTATATAAACTAGTGAACAAAATGATAATGAGCAAAAAAAAATAAACCCAACATACAGCTCATATAATGACAATGTGCAATACAGTAACAATATAATGTGTGCCAGACACACACTGTGAACTAAAACAGTGCAAATCCCAGAGACAGATTGGGGATTTACTAAAACTGGAAAGTGTAAAATCCGGAGCAGCTCTGTATAGAAACCAATCAGCTTCCAGGATTTTTTTGTCAAAGCTTCATTGAAAAAGCTGAAGTAAGGCTGGCCATACATTATACAATTTTCTTGAGAATTTTGCTTTAGATTTACCAAAAAACATATGATATGAGGTCAAACCTAAACAACACTTTCAATTGTATTCAGTTAGGTGGGCCCTTGCACTACACAGTTGAAGGTTAATCTAAAGGAAATTGGGCAGAAATTGTACAGAAAATTGTAGAGTGTATGGCCAGCCTTAGAAGCTAACTGGCTACCATACACAGCTGCATCTTGCACTCTCCAGTGTTAGTAAATCAACCCCACATTGTGAATTAAAACCGTGCAAATCCCAGAGTGCAGACAGTTTGGGGGGGATTTACTAAAACTGGAGAGTGCAAAATTTGGTGCAGCTCTGCAAAGAAACCAATCAGCTTCCAGGTTTTATTGTCAGTGTTTAACTGAACTAGTTGAAGTTGGAGGCTGATTGGTTACCATGCACAGCTGCACCAGTTTATGAATGCTCCGGTTTTAGTAAATATTCCCTCTAGTTTTATAACTGCAAAATAAAGTCCAGATATAAATTATTCCCTTGATGCCGATAGCACACAAATATGCGGCCGCACGGAACTGGACTTTTTTCCGTGGGGCCGCATATTCGCATACCTGTCTTTGTGCT